CTGTTAGGTAGGGAGTTGATTTTGTCTGTCAGATTTGATGATTGTATCCATCCCCCGCAGCTTTTTTCCGTGTAGATTTGTTTAGGTTGCACCGTTTCTGGGATGCGTTTGATTGTTCTGCTAAGCGCGGTAGCTGCCGTAGCTGGGATGTGTGTCAGTTCGATGTGCTGATCTATAATTGATTGGATGTTGGAGTCCGAGTTGTTCATGTGAGGCTGGCTTGCTTAGTTGTAGTACTCTGATGTATTCTGTCAATTTGAACGGATGTATTCTGTTCCCTGGTCTTTAATCCCTAGACCATTTCTTTTCACTGGTATCGTTTAGCGGGTATGTGGTTTACTCTGTAATTTCTATTTTGGATTTACAGTGCAATCCCCATTGTTTTTTAGAGTGATTTTCAGTGTAATTTATATTGGATTTTCATTGATTTTCACTGTAATCCGTACTGGATTTCCAGTGTAATTTTCTTGTGGATAGGTAGTATATTTGTAGTGTAAACCCAAAGCAATTTGTAGTGTAATCCCCGGTTATTTTACAGTGTAATTTCAGTGTATTTGCACTATATTTGCTAGTGGAATAATAGTGTATATGTCCTAATTGCAGTGTATTTTTGTCAGTGGGGTTGCACTGTATTTGTTAGTGGAATTACAGTGTATTTGTCAGTGATGTACAGTGTAATTTGATAGCTGATTTATAGTGTAATTGCCATGGATTTGCACTGTATTCGCTAGTGGAATTACAGTGTAATTCACTTGAATTTTTATTGTGGAATTGCGTTTTGGATTTACAATGTATTTGTCGGCAAATTTACAGTGTAATTCATAGTTGGTTTTACTGTGTAAATTCAGTGTAATTTACACTTTAATTGAGTAGCAGAGGAATTGTGACTGTTCTTATGATGCACCGCTAGTTTGTATGTTCTTGTGATGCATCTGATTCCAGTGTATTTTCTTGAGGATTTAGACTATAATTATATTTGGATGTACACTGTAATCTTCATCGGAATTCCAGTGTATTTTCTTAGTGGGTGATTACAGTGTATTTACAATGTAATTCTCAGTTGGTTTCCACTGTAATTCGCATGGGATTTCTTCACTGTAATTCTTAGTGGGTTATGTAGTGAAATAAAAGAGATGTAGACTGTAAATGCTATCAATGCATTTCTTCTTTATATTTTTTTTATGTTTTATCCCTTTTGCCATTTCATCTCAGACATTTTGTCCTTTTCTTTGTGTTTGTACATATTTAGGTTATAGATTAAAGTATGGGGAGACTCATGAAGGCTTTTGGTAAGGGCACTTATGCTGCTTGTGTTCAAGATTGTGATGATTCAGATGGGGATCCTTTTGTCCCCAATGATTTTGCTGAGGATGATCCTTTTCAAGATTCGGAGGTTATATTTCTAATTTGATTTTTTATTTCTTTTATTTTTTTTATTTCTTGTTTGGTAGCTTATTTGTTCCAGTTTTCTAGTTCATTCATTTGTTTCATCTGTTAACTGCAGGAACGTCAAATGGATGATCATGATTTTGAGAAAGTCTTAGGCCATGCTTTTTAGCTGCTTTTTTCTAGTCTGGCTTTGATAAAGATGGGGTGTGTACCCGCTCAGGGCATGTGCTGCTATGATGAAGTGGATTTATTTCCGGTCATGTCCTCTTCCAGTTTTTTGACTGTAGTCCCTGATGGGTTGTAGTGTAATTATTTGTTGATTTTGCTCTGTAATGCCCAGTGGCATTACACTGTATGTTAATTGGTCTTACATAGTAATTCTTAGTGGGTTCACACACTAATTTACAAAGTAGTTTACACAGTAATTTTAGCACTTCCTTACTGTTGGTTAGTGTTCATTTTTGTTGGCTTGTTCAAAACTGCAATTCTTACAGTGTAATTCTAGGTAGATTTACAGTGAAATTCTAAGTGGATTTACACTGTAATTCCTACTATATTTACACTATAATTCTAGGTCGATTTTACAGTGTAAATCTAGATATTTACACTGTAATTCCTACTGGATTTACACTGTAATTCCTACTATATTTACAATGTAATTCCAGGTCGATTTTACATTGTAAATCTAGGTAGATTTATACTGTAATTCCTACTGGATTTACACTGTAATTCCTACCGTATTTTCAGTGTTTTTCTTAGTGTAGTAGATTTTACAGTGGATTCAAACTGGATTTACAGCGGTATTTAAAGTGTAAATCTTAGTGTAATTTTAGTTGATTTTATAGTGTAATTTTAGTGGTTTTTGTCATTTTCATTTTAATTGTGTGTGGTTAGTAGATTAGAGATGGGAAAGTATTGCCTGGGTTCTTTTTCTCCTTTCTCGCTGCTTTGCCTGTGTGGGTTGAAAAGAGTTGGGGTGTGGATCCAATAACATCTTGGTGCGGGTCCGTTTAAAAGCGGTATGAACCACCTGAAGTAGCTCAGTAAAAGAGTATGATCCACTTTGTTATTTGTCAAGACTCTAGTTAAAGAAAGCATGTTTTTGATAACTTTTTTTGTTTTCAGGATTGTTTTCTCTATTAGAAAGCCATATGTTAAGGAAATCAACTTCATCTTCATTGAGGTACATCGCATGTCCTTTGATGCTGGATTTCATTGCATTTGGTTTGATTGTAGGCACCTGCACTCAATATTTTGAGTAAATTATCTATTAATGCAAACAAGTATTCAGCTTTGAACTGTAAATAAGTGCAGAGTAATTTTGCAGAGAAGGTCCCAGCAATTTGATCTAACAGTCACAAATTTCTCCTTTTAGTTCTGAACTGTAAATATGTAATCATTTTTATAGATTCTTTTTGTTTGTTGCTACTTGTGTGAGTGCCTTCTAGTGTGAATGTTTTTAGCCTGATTGTGTTTGTCCTTTTTCCTGTTAATTTCAATTTTTAGTGCTCATGTTAATGCATGTCAATATTCAGTGTAAGCAAGCATCCGATCATAGTAGTTTACACTTCTAAAGTTACTTAAATTCAGTCCTTCAATCACAACTATTTAAGAACATGTAGAAAGTGTCTAAAACAAGTAGATTAAAGTGTCTTAACAGTGTTTGGTTTTTCAGTTTCCAAAGGGTGTGAAAATAGTCATATTTTCTCTCAACTGGAGCAATCATCCCCCTTTTATGTTTTTAACTAGTTTTTCCAAAATGGAATTGCTAGCTTCCTGAGCATGTTTTGATCCCTGTAGTGTGTTTATTTCTGCAAATCCAGAAATCTATGATCTGGGCATGTAGTTTTCAGTTTTCCTGTGATCATAGACAACTAGTTCATGCGACCATATCCTAGTTGTTCCTAGGGTTTCTCCTGTTTCATGCTTTTGTGTGATTATGTTCTTATTTTCGATCTGTGTAGATTTTGTGCTTAACTTATCATATGTAATGATTCACTAGCTAGAGGTATGTTCTTTCTTCCAGATTTGTTCAGGCAGGAGAGAGACGACAGGAGGTGATGAATGC